TATTTTTTTTTAATTTAAATGCACACTGAAAGCATCAAATGATAGGCACATCCCCAACTTTTTTGGGCATTACTCTCCCAACGCTTTTCTGCTAAATGCACTAAAATGACAATTTAAACTGAACAACAACAAACATCACAATGTTTTCCGAGAATATATTAGATGAGTCATGAAATATCACTAAGCAGTAATTAAACTTTTGTACACGTATAGTTTTTATTCCACAGCTCTACAGTTTTTGTATTGAATCATATGGACCACATTAACGAAATAATCAATTTCTGCTTCGCTTGACAACATAGCATAATATTCCCTAGGACTGTAATTGCCTGGGTATTATAGATCGCCAGTCAAATATAATTTTTATATTTTAAAGATCTTTATTTCACGGAATGTCCGAGAAATTCGCTGAAAAAAACGGTAAAAGAAAAACATTTGCGTTTTTTTTTTCGAGTAAGTTTTGATTAAGTGTATTCTGAGATCGTCTATCTATAGTGATAACTCAATCTATAGGCTCCAAGCACCCTAAAAAAAATTACTCATGAGCGGCCGATTTGCCCACAATGCTCGCGCCACAACCCTCTTTCTGCGCTTGGTAGCTGACACCAGGGGGCGCCGTCGGTCGGCGCGGCGTTTTTAAACAATTGTTGTATTACTTCTCCTAAACCCAAATATTTGACGTTTTGACCAAATCATAACGCACAACACGCCTAAAAAGAGCAATCATAGTAACATTCGAAATCCCCACGCAATTGACTATTTTCATTGGCCACATTTCGTGGAGGTAATAAAAACCCGAAGATCTCTCTAACCCCCCCCCCCCCCCCCTCTTTCCTTCCCCAAGATAAAATAGTGCAAGCAAGTTTACCAGGATGTCTTGCCATCTAGAACTGGTAATTTTTATTGACTAAAGCCTAACAAACAATACGCTATCAAAAACAAACTTCTACAAATAGCAGCTGAGTGCCCCTTTGAATCATCATAACAAAACTGTCTGATTGAAATCGCGATTTAAATCGCAATATCAACCATGCTGATTTTTTTTTCGCCACCCTGTTGCAAATGTTTGTCGTCATTTCTTCAGCGATCGGCGTGTTCTTTGCATGACGTATGATTAGTTTGACTGTGGCTCTAAAAGTGCATCGCATACAATGTTGCCGGCTTCATTTTGGCGTTGTCTAAATATAGTTTTCCTGTTTTTGTTTACAGATTTCTTGCCTCGGTATTTATTGTGCTTCCGGATGCTGCCGTCGTGGCGGGGAACGCCAGCCCCTTCTCAGGGCGGTCACCTGACCTCAACCCAAGAATCGCATATTTCTAGCGCATATATTTACTTTTTAGATAATAGTTTTACAAGTTTCTCGGAAGTTTTGACAGTTTTATTAAGTGCGGGGGGCGACGATCCCCACTTCCCGCTCTTTTTTTATGCACCGTTATATAATACTGCAATAAAGGCGTGACGACTCGGCTCACAGTAATTTAGGAAACGCGCTAAGGACAGTAGCTGGGATTCATTGGTGGATCCTGCTTTAAAACGATGAATACAGATCACGTGTACCAAAGAACGACCACAATATTAAGGAGAAGAGTGTTGTGGGTTACTTTGTGGAGATAACACATTTTATTGTGGATTATCATTGGCTCCGAGGTTGATAGAATGCATCTTTTCTCTCCACTCGGCCAGCAGAAAGAGAAGGGTACCAATTCTATGCACTCTGAAACCCATATTTCGGGGAAACCCGGGATTGTGATCGTATCTGGCCGACAAACTCCTAAAGAGCAGCTTATCCTCAAATTATGGGTCTCCATTGTTAGTGATTCCTCACGGGGACGGGACATCTTGACCGTTAGCTATATCTTCCGCGGATCCAGACTAGACACGCGCGTGACATTGATTACATATATGAGATGTGCATTTTCCGCTGTTATTAATGAGAAAAATCGGCGAATGTTTTTCAGTGTTTATTTATTTTTTAAACACCGGTTTGGAGTGTGTGTATGGTTCAGAATGTGTGGACTGCATGCTCTTCCAGAGCGGTGCCTGCGGCGCGGCATTCATTTTCAGGAGTGGGTGAGTGAGTGAGAAAGAAAGAAAGAGAGAAACAAAGAAAGAGAGTAAGAGAGATCTTGTTTTAATCGTCTGTTGTTGTTTTTTTCCTCGTAATATATATTTGTAGCCGGCGACCCGGTGGCGTACTGTCGCTTCTCCCCATCAACACGCACACATGCGCGCCTGCACAACGCGCACCCTCGAAGGAGTTCACCATCTGTATGAAGGAGTGCATGCATCCACAATATAGGTGACGAGGTACCCTTTCAGGGTGCCATCCCCTAAACAATTTCTCGCAGACCACCGCGAAAGTCGACGCTATGTTTGTACATATCTTGTCGGCTGTACACAGCGGGTGTGGGCAATTTAGAAATCGGTCTTTTGGTGGAAGTTTCAGTACGTCGCGACCTTTCCCATCCTTTTCAACTTTGGCGCGTGGTTTTGTTTACCGTTGCTATCCATTTACTTTTTCCCGTCCTTTTCATTACGCAAGCTTAATCACAAAAACAAAATTTATTGAGGTGTTTACAGTCTATGACAGCTTAAGAGTGAATTGGAAGCTCCTACCACCTCTTTCCACTCCAGCAGAGCCAACGCTGGAAAGGTCGCTTACACTCCAGCGTTCGCTCTGCTAAAGGGGAAAGGGGTGGGAGGAGCTTCCACTTCACTCTCAATTTGTCACCGATTATAAACCCACAGATTAGTCTAACTAGTAATAGCAACAAAAAAAAAAACGGTGTTTATTGCGTTGATTATTGAGGACCGTAGTCAACATTGTGTAGCAGTGGCAAGCGAGCTGTCATGGCGGAAATTAGAGCGGGCCTCAGCGGGCCCGTGGAAATTGGAGTCGCGGGCTGGAACGTGCTCCTCAATATCCGCCCGAGCAAGCGTCTACTTTTCGGTCTCTTCGAAACGTCTCATAGCTTTACGCGGACCACCAAATTGCTTTGGCGATCCCCGCAGCCAGGGGCGGATGCAGGAATTTCCTGAGGGGGGAGGGGGGGGGGGGGGTCAGGTGTTGGTCAGCGTACCATTTATTTAGGAACCCCCTCTCCCTCATTTCACCTCCTAATTTTTACACAAGTAAGAACTCAAGAGGGGGGTCAGGACATCCGGACCCCCCCTCTAAATCCGCCCCTGCCCGCAGCATATTGCGACAGCTCTCGCTGTTCCCTCAATAGATTTCAACAATTGACATCCTCATCAATTATACTCGAGCTCGTGGGGTGGAACACAGCATTTCTGCCTGCCTGTTTTGTGTAGATTTGTTTTTATTGCCTGTTGTGTTTGAGGAGAAAACAAATTGAGAAGGAATTCATGCAAGCTTTTGATGACTGCTGACGAAAAATAAGAATAGAAATGAGAGGTGACTTTTATTAGAATATGTTCGAAACCTACAACTTTAAGAGACTTCTTATTGAGGAAGAAAAACTCTCAAAACAATATTTTAAAATATTAAATAAAAGAAAAATACTTGGGACTTTCACCTCAACTGCTTATTTGTCTCCGCAACAGTTGTTTAAATAATACTTGAAAAACCTCACTCACTTGTTCCAGATTAGCAGGTCCCAAATGTTTATTCATTAGATGAACATTTATTGAATAAAAATGATATACAGAGAGAATCTGAAGACAGCCAGACTTAAACTGAGCGCCAAATCAATGTATTTTTTTTTCGGTGACAAATTTGTGTGAGAATAGGTACACAAGCGTGCATTTGTTTAGTAAAAGTATGGTATGCTTGGTTCCCTTAGTAAAGGGGCATAGTAATAAAATTCTACATTTTCTATGCTTCGATCGCTTGTAAACAAATTATTTATGGGTCACTGCCGTGTTTATTTTTACAAATTGAAAAGGATATCTAAGTAAATTCTGCTGACTTTCTATTGCACCTTTTCTCCATTCGTCATAAAAGCCCCAATGGCCCTATATGCCACATGACGATTTCGTACAAAAAAAGCACAACGTAAATTCGTTCGTAGGAAAAAAAAAAGAAATAGCTTATATTTTTATATATTGAATCCACAATTGTATTTTAGTTTCACTGCGATATTGGGATCTTTTTTTTTTTTTTTCTACCTTGCACTTGGGACCAGTTGTTCCGGTACGATTTTTTTTCCTAGACCCTCTTTTAGTGCTACAGATCAAAGTAGTATGAATGTAGGTTGACTAGCCATATTCAGGTATAGCAGCTTGCACATGTCCAACACTCCGATGATGGTAGAGAGTCAAGTAAGCACACTAAATTTCGGGAACGTTCCAACCGGTCAGGCAGAAATGTATTTTATTTTGTTTTTCTCTCACCCAGCCAACCTTCAGCGTCAAGTAAAAAAGAAAGCTCGGGGAGGGGGAAGGGTTAACCCTCCCCCCTTCCCCCTGTTGGTGCGCCACTGCTTTCACATATTTCTGTTAGACGCTGATATCGGCTCTGTATCATCACCGTCTTGTAGAGGGAGCACTGGAGAAGCTCCTTTTGCTGGGCAAACACGCGTTTGGAAGGCTGGGGGAGAGCTGAAGCGCTCGTGACTCTCTGAAAAGGTGGTGCTTTGGTTATAGACTCTTCGCAGCAGCTCGGAATGAACCCCGCCATAACCAAACGCTAGTTTGTGTTTCCTCTTATTATAACGTGTTAGCGTTAAGGACCTCGTGTGGCAGAAAAGTCGGCCTCTGTGGCGTGACTCGAATCCTGGTTGGTCGATAGGGTTATGACGTCACAGCTACATGACCCCGCGCGGGAATTTTAAGCAACCCCCAACGCTCACGTGAAGCGTGTCGTCAAACGTCGAATGAATGTGATTTAAAAAAAAACATGACATGTAATGCGAATTAAGGGTCCCTGCATGTCTCAAATGATTTCACTTAATAAAGTAATTATAATTTTAGGTGGGATTTGAACGCACGACCCTTCGGTTGCGAGCCAGACACGGTACCGTCTAGGCCACGCAAGGTTTTTTTTTTTCTCTTTATTGCCTGTTTTGACAAGAACAACTAAAAGCACAAAGGCAGAAACACACATTGACAAATGTTAAGAGCGCGCTGGCCCGTAATCGGACCTCGCGGCAACATTAAAATCTTTCTAGACAGACCAACCTGTCCAACATTAACGTCCAGTCCGGTGGATCAGACAGTGAATGGTATACTTCACGCATGTAAGCGGCACTTTCAATGAGGTACTCTCGTGCGGGCCGAACCTGTGCGTCCGCGTGGTTAACACCCGTCCTCGTCCTCCAAAGACTGTGGAGGCCAAGGAGCATTAACATATCGTAAGGAATACCGCCTTCATTATCTACAGATAGAAACCGTATGCCATGCGCTGTGAGGGGGAAATCTTTCTTCAGCGTTCGCTGCAGGATGTCCCATAGGAACACCGCATCCCAACATTCTAAAAATACATGTTCTATAGTTTCGGGCCTTTTACAAAGGAAACAATTAATTGACCATGGCACAAAAATTCTTTTCTCTTCAAGCCACGGTTTGACAGGTGGCACGCCGCAATGCAATTGAAAGAAAAACGACTTAAGAGAAGGTTTTACCGGCATTCTTTTCACCCTGTTTAAAACATCCTGCCCTGCGCCCTCACAGTACAAAGATCGGTAAAGAGGTACGGGTAAAAGAACATCGACTAAATCTCTATACAGCCTTTTGCGACTAACTGAACTCAGGTATTCTAAGGAGAACCGAACTTTAAGCATCCGAAATGCCATCACAACTTCCCGCGTGAACCCCTGAACGCTCGCGCTTATTTGGTCGCTAGAAGATACTACAAATTCAGGCAGGAAGCTTTGCAAATGCACATTAATAAAAGTTCTCAAGAATACATCTCTCTGATCGCGTAAAAACAAAAACCTGGAAACTATTTGACGTATAAACAAGTGAGACAGTCCAAGACCTCCACTACGAACTGATCGAAACAAGTTGGTACGGGAACAACGCTCCCAACCTGAATTCCAAATAAAAACAGCGAAAACCCTGTGCAGCTTCTGCACATTGAGGCGTGACATAGACAAAACTTGCAAAATATACCATATTTTCGCGATTAAAAATAAATTGCAGACTGTTGCGCGCGCAAACATTGAAAACTCGCGACCTTTCCAACCCTCTGTTTTCGCCCTTACCCTATCAGTCTCCTCATTCCACAGTTGCTTAGTGTCTCGGTAGTGCTGAAGTGGCACACCGAGATACTTCACGGGCAAGGTTGTCCACTGTACGTTCAGAAAAACTTTAGGCGTGGTGGCCCAGTTACCATGCCAGAAACCCGCGCATTTTCCCCAGTTGATTCTACTCGCTGTTTTCTTACAAAAGGAAGATGCTATACTAGCCACTTTACGCAGACTGTCATGATCACTACAAAAAACAGCAACGTCATCCGCGTAGGAAAGGACCTTTACTTCAGAAGATTGTAATCTAAAACCTCGTATATTGTCATTATGAATTATTCTTAAACAAAAGGGTTCTAAGTAAATCGCGAATAGCAAAGGGGACAGAGGACAACCTTGCCTAACAGAAGACTGGACGTGGATACTTTCACTAACGCTTCTATTAACAATAATTGACGTGGTACAGTCGGCGTAAGCCATCTTTATACCACACAAAAGAACAGAACCAACATTAACATGTTCCAAAATACGAAAAAGAATATCATGTGCAACCCTGTCAAACGCCTTCTCTAAGTCTAGCTGCAGCATGGCAACTCGGCCAGCGAAGGCGTCACAACATTCTAGTATGCTTCGAGCCACGTGAATATTTGTACAAATGCTCCGACCTTTTATACCGCACGTCTGATGTGGGCCGTCCAGATATGTAATGACATTTTGCAAACGACAAGCTAAGACTTTCATATAAATTTTATAGTCTACGTTAGTAAGACTTATTGGTCTGTAAGAGGACACGGATAACAGTTTCACAGGGTCATCGGATTTAGGGATAAGAACGATATGTGATTTTGAAAAAGATGGCGGTAACACGTTTCTTTGATAGGCCTCGGTCAACACCTCATGCAAAGCTTCTGCGGCCTCCCTCTTAAATGCTTTATAAAATTCCGCACTAAGGCCATCCGGCCCGGGCGTTTTGCTAGCACTTAATTCCTCGATCGCAACTGTAAGCTCGCGAACACTAATCGGCTCTTCCAGCCGTTCTCGAACGTGCTCTTCAAGCCTGGGCATGAGCGACAAGAATTCATTTTCAAACCCGTCCTCTTCTGGAACGCTTTTTCTAAGCAGAACCCGATAAAATTCAACAAAGGCCCCCTCAATCGCTTTCTTATCGCGGATTATCGAGTTACGGACACACAACTCGGTTATCTCCTTGCGCTGTGCATACCGCTTCTCGTCGCTCATCGTGCGCTGCGTCGGTCTTTCGCCCTGCCACAGCTTTTCAGACCGCGAACGCACAATAGCCCCCCTGTATCTTTCGCAGTCGATAACTTCGAGTTGATTCTTCACTTGTCTTATCTCTTGCCCAAACTCGCCCGGCTTCGCACTTTCTTCTAGTAAAAAGGTGCTTAACTGACTACGCAGCGTTTTTTCTTTCTGCTTTCGCTGAAAATTAAGAATACTGCTTCTTTCTATGGCCTCAAGTTTCACCTCCTCTTTAAAAAGTTCCCATCGCTCACCCCACATGGTCGCCTCATTTTCATGCAACTTCCTAAATAATTCTTTTACTTGAACGGTAAAAACTTCATCCTTCACAAGACAGCTATTCATTTTCCAGAGCGACCAGTTCCAATTTGGCTGCTTAACTTTTTTACCAATCGTGAACATTACTAACAAATGATCGCTAAAAGAGACGGGTTGAACAATATAATGGGCACATAGCGGGACAAGATCGAGTGACTCATAGGCCCTATCGAGACGCGCATGGCTCGAGCCCTGAAAATGGGTAAAATGAACACCGTTACTAGAGGATACAGAAGCCACGTCCTCCAACGAATTGTTCGTGACAATGTCAGTTAAATAAAAGGCACTCTGGTCGCGAACACGTGTCAAATTCACCCGATCTTGGGGCGCACAAACACAATTAAAATCTCCAAGAAAAATTACAAATCGCTCACAATTAAGGTACTCGCTCAGACCTTCAAAAAAGACCCTGCGCTCGCACTCACGATTGGGCGCATAAACACAAATAACGCGCCATTGCATATTTGAAAAAGAAAAATCGCATATTACAAAACGGCCATACGCGCAGGAAATCACGGCGGTCTCAACAAACCCTAGAGACTTCCGAAGAAACAAACAACAACCCCCCGACGTTCCCATAGCGTGCGAAACGCAGACATTAAAAAGAGTTCGAAAAGGCTGCACCATACGGTCTGTCTGCTCTTGACTCTCAACCTTTGTTTCCTGAACGGCAATGATATCCAACTCGTTCTCGGCAAACAGTCGGCTCAGTTGGTACTGCCGACGCCTCGCAGCGAGCCCGCGGACGTTAATCGTGGCGACACGAAAAGGGGCGTCTAATATCACCGCCATTCAGGAAAGGGAGAAAAGACAGACCGCATGGTGCTTACCTCGGAACAACCTGCCGCGTCGGCGCGGTGCAGGTGTCTGTCCTTTGAAGTCGCTGACTCCGTGGCTCTCGGCGAACTGCAGCGCACACACTCACGGCGGAGGCTTGGCTGCCCTCCTGTCCTCCTCCGGAATGTTCGGCCGAACAGGCGCATGTCGCCTCCACAGGGGCACCGTCTTGGCAGGCGGCTCTTCCTTGGTCGCTGCCGCTGGGTCAGCACCGTCGACGTCCCGAGTCCGCTTTGTGGCGAGCTCCGGTGTCACGGCCGTCTCCATGGGCGCGTCGCCTGGTTGTTCAGGGAGGGCGTCGTCGCACATGTCGGCTGCTCCGACTCCCGGCCTCGGCGCCTCAACGGACGGAACGTCCGGAGACTTGGCCTGGCTCGCCGTCCCAGCACAGGGTGCCACGTTGACCGCGGACGTGGCCGTGTGGCCCTCGGGTGCCGCCGCTGCTCTCTGCGATGGCGCCGCCCCGGTGTCCGGACCCGCGACGGTCTCCTCGGCGTCGGCCTCGTCCATGAGAAGCTCGGATTTCTCCTCGCCTCCCACAGGACCCACGGCCGCCGCGTAGGTCCGTACGCATTGCGTGCCCTCGTGGCCGAAACGTCGGCAGACGTCGCACTTGGGGACGCATCACTCCTTGCGGATGTGCCCCGTCCGCTGACACCGCAGGCAGAGCGGCGCCCTGCCCGGCACGACGACGAGGGCGAGCTCACCGGCGACGCGCAGCTGGTGCGGGATGTCGTCGGGAGTCACGCCCCCCTTCAGGCGCAGCACCGCCGTCCGCGTCATGGTGCTGACGCTGTGGCAGCCGTCGATGTGCCACCGCTCCCTGGAGACGTCCAGGACCTTGCCGTAAGGCGCCAAGGCTGCCCTCACGTCGTCGTCGCCAACGTTAAAAAGCAGCCAATGGAGCTTGAGGCGCACGTCCCGGTTTCCCGGGTCTACAACGATGCACCTCCGCCCCTTGACGGTGAGCTCCGGTGTAGCCAGCAGTTTCTTGGCACCCTCGAGGGACTTGAACGTGACGGCCCAGACATGATTCATCTGGTACGCCCCGAGGGCTACGACCTCGGGGAGTAAACTCAGGCTTGCCAAAGCGTCCCGAAATTCTTCCGCACGGTACGGGCGGCCCTTGACATCAGCGTGTAAAAATACTGTGTTCAACACAAGTGATCCTGTTGGCAGCGAAGGATGACAGCGTATTCCTTATCGTCGGTGATCCTGATACCGCGGCCCGATTGGGCCGCTGAAACTGCTCCCTCGGAGCCAGACATCGTACGTCCGCACGCTATCGCTGCCGGAAGTAGACTCCTAGGCCACGCAAGGTGCGCTTGCACGGCGAATGAGAAAGCGATGCGAGCGGCGCCCGAAGCTTTTGACCGCTTCCCTCCATTATTACCACAACAGGACAGGTTATCGTCATTAAAGATTCGACTGTGTCCTTATCCCCAGCATTGGTCTTTGTGAGGGCTCGTCAAAGCACGCTTCGCTGGCTTGGTATCTCGATAAGACAAAATCAGAAATGGCGGCTGTAATCTCGTGCGTGTCCGAAGTGTCTATAGCATAGCGGAACGCTGTCGTGGCGATACACGAGGGGTGATCAGAAAGTTCTGCAACTCGGCTATCACCAAAAGTCTGACAGTGATTTCTCTATCACCGTTGGTTAGCTCCTCTCTCTAGCCAAGCATGTTCGTAATATTAAGAGTTCCCATTCCAGTTTTGGTCTGCACCTGTCAGTTAAACATGGCGTCCTCTCCCGATTTCAAGCTTGAGTACCGGAGCGTGGTAAAGTTTTTGTGCAAAGAAGGGAGTTCCGCCAAGGAAATTCATGGTAGAATGGTGAAGGTGTATGACGATGAATGCCGTTCATGTGCTACAGTAACTCGTTGGTTCAACGAGTTTAAACACGGTCGTGTAGGCGTGCAAGACGACCCAAGGTCAGGGCGGCCCAGCACTTCGACCGTTATGGATCATTCAGCCCGAGCTGAGAGCCTCATCATGAAGAATCGCCGAGTTAAGGTGTCCGAAGATGCTACAGAATTGAACATATCGTATGACAGTACTTTCACAATCATCCATGACGTTTTGGGTATGTCGAAGGTCTCGGCACGATGGGTGCCACGGAACCTCTCTACGCAGGATCGACAGCACCGCTTGCATTCGTCAAGGTAGCTTTTGAGCATCTATGAAAGCGACCCAGAAGATTTTCTTGCCCACCTTGTGACTGGGGATGAGACGTGGCTTTACCAGTCGGACCCCGAAACAAAAGAACAGTCTATGCAGTGAAAACATTCGAGTCCACCCCCCCCCCCCCCCCCCTCCTCCAAAAAATTCAAGACGCAAAGCTCGGGGAAGAAAGTGATGTCGATAGTTTTTTTGGGACGCAAAAGGGATCCTACTGATTGATTATCCGGAAAACAGCAGGACAATAACCAGGCGCATACTATGCCAACGTTCTCTGCAAACTGCGGGAGGCCATCGTGGAAAAACGACGAGGATTGGTGACAAGAGGCGTCCTCCTGCATGGCAACGCCCCCGTTCACAAGTCTCGCGTTGCCCAGGCTGTCATTCGGGAGTGTGCTTTCGAAGAACTTGACCGCCCACCCTATAGTCCTGATATGGCCCCTAGTGACTCTTTATAATTCCAGAATCTGAAAAAAAAGCGCCTTAAACAAGGTTCGAATACTTGAGTGCACTGCGAACTGCCTCAAAGCAGCGGCTTGACGAGCAGGAAGTTTTTCTTTGCGAGGATATCAAACGCCTCCAAGGCAAATGGGAGAAGTGTATTTGTGTGAGGGAGGAATATGTTGAAAAATATTTCTTTTTCAAAGCCCTGGTAGTTTTCGTTATATGCGAGTTGCAAAACTTTCTGATCACCCCTCCTAGCATACGTGAACAAGCCATGCAAGAAATGTAGGAATATGCGCGTCTGAAGTTAAAGTTTGTTTGTTGTGCCTCTTAGAACTCTACCTTGTTTGTGTTGTTACCGTTAAGGAGAGACGTTAAGGGTGCAAAATTATTTACCATTTTAATTCATAAATATATATATTTTTCCCCATGTCACTTAGGTACTTGTAGATTGTATTCGCTGAACTGAGGAAAGCCTCTCCAGCGTCGAAATAAGGCATCGCATCGAAAAGAAGACTTCTCAGGTTTCAGAGTCACAACTCCACTGCACTGTATCTGCCTTGCTTAAAAAAAAAAAAAAAAAAAAAAAGATGTGGAAGAAAATACACAGGTAAAATGACAACGACTGAACTTTCATTTCTTTTTATCCTCTTTTTTCTAAGGGCGTTGAGAGTTATGGGGTAAGGCACGTGGGCGAGTACTTCAGCCATCAAATATGGCTGCGTCGCCCGCAGAATACAAAGTGTACCAATAAGAGAGGCCGTATGTCCTTACAATCTACTAACATTTTATTTTATTTATTCCGAAAGTGTCCAGCTGTTGCAGATAAGGCTTGCTTCTTCATTCTTCTAAAAGTACTTGAGAAGGTCTGCTTCGATTGTCTGAAACCAGGAAAAATTGGGAACTTTATTCGTATCCTTATTTGATTATTTTTAATACGCATTTTTTAATAATATTGGCCCGTGTGTTCTCAGTCAGTCAGACTGGAGTAATTAGACTGCATCGAATGTCAGCAGGGCAGAAAGAGAAATAGACAGGAAAAAAAAAAAGCGATAAAGCTATCGAAGTCATCTGTACGCCGTATTTCTGATTTCGAATTTATTTTCTAACCATGAAGACGCCATAAATAAATAACATTGTAATGCGTATGCCGATCCAACGTGAACAAATGTTGGCTCACAAAGAAACCTCTTAGTGCACAAAAAGAAAAACACTAAATAAAGTGGGTTTTTTTTATTTGTTCTTATTTGTGACACTCAACCTTAACTGCGTTATCGGGAGAGTTTCGCATGTGTGATAATGGACGAGCACTTACTTCGAACGAGTCGGTGGGCGCATAACGCTTCACGGGCTGTCCGTTCTTGTCCACCAGAAACTTGGTGAAGTTCCATTTGATGGCGCTGCAAATGTCACGAACGAAAAAAGAAACACAACTTTTATTTAAACTAACGAGCCACCGGCGTCCTCTCAATAATGTATATGTAATTGTTTGCACCATCATACGATTACTTTCAGTTCCTTTGACAGTTTTGTTTATTTTGAGCTTGAGAATTCCCAAATCCTCGGTCACACTGCATACCTCCCCCGCGGGTGTTTCTTGTTTGTATGACGGCCCTGCCACATTGGCCATACAAAAACTGTCCGCAGACATGTGTTCGAATCATACGTATTCACGAAGCTAACATTCTTCCTGAAGCGGGTCCCCAAATTCTTGTCGTCATAATGTCGGCAGCGCACACGGTCTCTTTTATATGATGTGTGAACAGTATAAGAGTGGCTCAAGATTTCATCACACACAAACACACACTAACTCCTCTCGAAGAGTGCGACTTACTTGAAGAGGAAGCCCGGCTGCTTCTCCTTCAGGTACTTCCAGAGCGGGTGGGCGTTGTCCCCGTTCACGCTGATCTTGCTGAACATGTCGAAGGTCACGTCGAACTGCTTCACGAACTCCTTGATCTCGGGCTCGGCCCAGGGTTCCTTCGAGCGCACACCGTGGACACGGGTCCGTCCGCGTTAAACTTTTCCGTGCTCTCCAACCTCATTGCGACTCTCTCCAAGTTTCGACACGGAGAGAAGACGAGGGAGAGGAGGAGAGGAGAGCGCGCGGGAACGTCAGAGCGGCGAGCTCTGATTGGAGGGATTAGTGGGTACACGCAAAGGCCAGCCGCCTTCGTTTCCATCCACTAATCACTCCAATTAGAGTTCGGCGCTCCTATCTGACGGTCCCCGCAAGCTTTCATTTTCTCCTCTCCCTGAGTTTACTACCCGTATAATCACTGACAAATCGAGAACGACGGGTCGTTTTTCTTAAACGCCCGGCCCTGAGCACGCGCTCGCTGCCTTCCGTCGTGCTTTGACTGCGCGTGCACGCGCCGTGAAGCATTGCCTGGAGCCGGCACGACTGAAGGACCTCTCCTTCGTTCTCGTCGTGTCACGTGACTATAGAGTAACAGATGGTGCGAGATAGTCCTGACCTGCTTGGCAAAGTCGTTGGTGGGGAAAGCCATGATGCGCAAGCCCTTGGATTCCGAGTACTTGTGGTAGAGCGCACTCAGTTTCTTGTAGTGTTTCTGCGTCAGGAGGCACTTGCAGGCCACATTAACGATCAGCGTCACGTGACCCCTGCGTCCAACATGTTGTACAAATTACACGTTTTTGCAATGATTGCTACCTCATAATAATGTTCCTTTTTAGACCATTGAAATGCAGCAGTTTATTGGATTTCGTTTTTAAGGAAAGTAAAATGCAAAAGTATCGCTGGATTTTAAAGGACAAGTCATAAAGCGCAGACGCAGCCTTAGTGTCGGCGACAGGTCGTATGATTGGACGACTGTCAGAAATCAAAATAGTGGTGACGTCGTACCTGTACTTGTTGAAGTCAACTTTGTTGCCGTCGATGTCGAGGGCTGAAAACTCGTAGATCGACTTGGCGTTCTTCCATCCTTCATCGGAGTTGGCCTTGAAGAACCACATGAAACTTAATTATGATTATTTTCTTTAACAGTTTGCTGTACGTATAAAACTAAGTTAAAAGAGTATTGTCGGTATTATTACCAGGGTCAAACCCGCGACCAGAAGCAGCACCGCAAACTTCAAGGGCCACATGGCTTGGATGTCTGCGCAAGAAACACTAAAAATCCTGCGTCATACTCAACCTCAACAAATGATTAACTTTTTTTTATCTATGTAAGTTTAGTAACCAGTTTTATGGTGCCAGTAAACAAAAGCGTGCGAAAGAGCACCATGCAGAATGGCGAATTTGCTAATAAAATGCAAGAACACGACGCTGTACAGTTGTGTCTGTACAACAGTTTCTAGTTAAGACTATTTATTATTAGTATAAATATGTCCTCCTCACTAGTTCCGGTGACCTGTTTTCGGTATAGTGTCCTATCACTTAAATAAACAAACAGTTGCTAAATTAATAACATAATTATGGCTAACGTCCATTAGGATCGTATTTCTCAGTAGACCTAGTTAATACTTTGCAATTTCTCTACATTATCTTACTCCCTGTCACAAACTTTGTCTTCAAGCACTTTCAAAACTTGGG